ATATATATGTGTGTGTTTGTGTGTGTGTCCATCCATCCATCTATCCACCTATCTATATATATACATTAGCGTAGGTCGTCTTACCTTTGGCTCTGGAACTACGGATGGTTTTGCAGCTGGTTGTGCTTTGGCGTGGCGACTTGTCGTACACGCTGGGCATTCCTCAATCTTGTTGTCATTCATCACACCACACGCATTGCACGTCCATGTATCAGTCTTCTTCCCCCAGTCGGCCCATAGACTCGACCCCGCAGGCTTAGTTTCAGCCGTTTTGGTACCAGAATCCTTGGCATCAGCAGCAGCCGGTCCGTCGAGTGTAGTGCTATCAATGCTCTTGACAACGTCGTTGTCAAGGGTATCATCCACGCTTGCAGGTGGATCTATCTTTGCCTGTGTCTTCTTTGGTTGTGCTTTGATTTTCGATGCTTTTGGTTTGGGTGCAGTAGCGAGTGTTTTCCTCTCCCGTTTGGCCTGGGGCTCAGCAGCAGGAGTTTGGTTCGACTGATTACGTACCCTTCCGCTACGTCTACTGGGTGTAGCCACAGCTTCCTCTTCGGCTCTGCGTTTCGGAGGCATCTTCAGTGGTCCGGATATATTAGATACGTATAGAAAGAATTCAGTTTACCCTCGTAAAGATAGAAGAGTTTTGTGCTGTATTGGCGAGTGTTGTGTTGAGTGTTTTGTGTTCAGTCAAATTTTGATGTAAATACATATGTATGTATCCGATATTGCATTTGCCCCGCAGCCATTGGCTAACATCAATTCGTTTTGCGCCCTTGCAGTAAACGTCGAGCGGTGAGCATCAAAGCGACAATGCTTATATTTTATACGTTTAACGTAATAGATAAACTGCACAACTGAGAGGTACACCTAGTTGAAATCCCGATACACGTTTAATTTTTAACGTATAAACGATTAAAATTTAAAATTTCGAGAAACAAACAGTCGCAGACTGCAGCGTGCAGAGTGCAGACTGCAGCGTGCAGAGTGCAGACTCCTGGCACTCAACTGAGTCGCACACCCGCGCGTATTTTTTTTCCACAAATAGAGGCAGTCAACAAATATCTGACGCATGCGCCATCGCGCCCGGCCTCTTCTCTAGTAGAGGTTATGGTTATGGTCTGAAACATGGATACACTCTGAGGTGTGGTGTAAAGGCACCAAATACAAATCATATGCGTACTCCAAGAAGAAAGAACGATAAATCATCTGTGCACTCATATGACATACCTACTTGCGTAAATTCTTTAAGACAAGGAGTTCACTTGCAGATGCGTTGGTGCTTCACAGGTGGGCACATAAATATAAAAGTGTTTCGTTTAGCTGTCAAAACATACAGTTTATCAACTTATTGTAAAAATATTGTATGCCCACTGATCAAGGTAGACACATGCCATAGGGACGGTCGCTAAGTAAGAGGTATGGCCCTTGTTTTTTTTCAAAAGAGCCACAGTGAGAACACTATATACCTTTGGAGATTCGGGTTTAACTAAGACAAGGACGCGATGCAACGAGTGCAGTCTTCGGTGGTCTTATAATTCATAGTGTATCAACAGATATAAGTTAAACTATGTATACTGATTGAATGGTCGAACATATTGAATGAACTGCTGGGTGGAGCACAGATTCTCTCAGTTGAATCTGAAGCAAATTATACTGAGCTAGGAGAATAAGCCAATGGCCACCGCCACAGAAACGCTCAATCGTGGCGGTCTTACAATAATGTAATAATGATATTATCAAATTAAACTAACTCTAATATTTATACTTATGGTTTTTTGAACATAGAGAACGGTCTGCTGCACTGAAGCACAGATCCCCTCAGTTGAATCTGAAGTAGTTCATACTGAGCCAGGTGAAGAAGCCAAAAACCACTGTCACAGGAACGCTCAATGGTAGCAGAAACTGGTAGTATCTACTCGTTTCCGTGTCTACTGTCTATAGGGAATATTCAAGAGTATATTATAAGGAAACTGGATTGACAAGAAGCAATATCAGAGCAAATACTGGGGGAACATGAACTACACTATTGAGTATGGTCGCGGTATTTGAGTTGGCTAATACTTGACAGTCTATGGTAGTAAGAACCTTGATACCACCTTTGTGGGTACTTCTGAATAGAGCGTGACTGTTTTTCTGGCCATCGCACTGCCAAGCAACGCATCGGAGTTCCGTGCCAAATACTTATCATTAAAAATTATCGAAACTCACCTCATCAAAAAACTGCAAGATATAATGGATTATAAATCCACAGAAAAACTCCTCTGCAAGTAGGCAAGATAGGAAGATCAATGCCACTCCGACTGAGGTCACATTGCGTGTTCCTGCGACGACCGACATTGTATCTGTTTCGGAATCATTTATCAACACAGCGGTAAATATTTATTTTAATAAGACAAGATGTACGATACTCTCTGATAAAGTGAATATACAATACTAGAGGGACGCTTGGGTTTAGGGTTCTTCTCTCTAGACTACTGTATCATATATAAATAAACAGTATTGGATAGATCATAAAATGCTTGTTTGAAAGCTATGTATTTACAGATATTCATTGCATATATAATTTATGCCTTTCGATCTATTACCTCAAGTTCTCCTTCAATGTTGTAAAGATGGCTCATGTGAACCATGAGATATCCAAAGGCTTGAAGCTGCTTTTAGATCCCAAAGATGGCGCCGCCGAAGCTTTGCGCAGTATCATTGATACGTACTGGTCAGGCAACAGAAGGTAACCTAGGACGTCCTAAGAAAGTTAATCATACGCAAACGAAGTCGAATCAATCGACGTGCAGAAAGTCGTAGATTTATTATACCACGACCGTTCTCTGTAATCTTCTACCAACCGCTTGAA